AGGGTGACAGAGCACTGGAACAGGCTGCCCAGGGAGGTTGTGGAGTCTCCTTCTCTGGAGATATTCAAAGCCCGCCTGGATGAAGTCCTGTGTAGAATGCTCTAGGTGAGCCTGCTTTAGCAGGGGGGTTGGACTAGATGATCTCCTGAGGTCCCTTCCAACCCTTACGATTCTGTGATTCTGTGAGATATTCAACCCCCGCCTGGATACTGTCCTGTACCCCCTGCTCTGGGTGACCCTGCTTGAGCAGGGGGGTGGCACTGGGTGATCTCCCGAGGTCCCTTCCAACCCCTGCCATGCTGGGATTCTGGGATTATGCGTCACCAACCCTGTTTACCCGCGAACAATGCTTCGGTCCACATTTCTACGATTCGAGGTACATGAATAAAGTTTTATGAAAACACCTGGAGGAAGGATGTGAAAACACTTGGTCCTTACGAGCCCCCTGGCTGGGTGCTGTGCAAACCCCAGAGGTAAAAAAGTTGCCCATATCACAGAGTTCATAACCCCAGCGTAAGATAAAAGAACTGCAAGACTAAAGAAAATATCACGCACGTGTGCAACCGCTCTGCCTCCTCTCCTCTCTCTAAGGCCTCTCAGAAGCTGCTCTGGCAGGGGCCACGCGTGCTGAGCACGGGAGATGAGAGCAAGATCTGCCAACAGAGGCACCAACATCCGTGTTGTGAGGGATGTGAAATGGCCTTGGAAAAATTCAGGTGAGCAATAACCCTTCCTCCCGGCGAGCTTGCTGCACCAAGGTCTCTCTCCCCATGGCCTCACAGCTAGCTCATGCCGTATATTGATACCCCAATACCTGGTCCTGGCGAGATGGTTATGTGCCCCCCGAGATTTCTGGTATCAGGAACGAATATATCGCTTAACACAGCGGCAGTGGAAGTTGTCTGGACTGTGCCATAGGGGAGCGCGGGCCCCAGGTTAATCTGGAAGCTGGATGATTTCTTCAACCGTAACATCCAAAGATTTTAAGGGCAGACCTTTTATCTTCCGCCTGTCTGCCTCAGCGTAGTTTCACTAATCCCAACAACCCCTCGCCCCCCTTGGATGATTACTCCAACGCTTCTAATTAACCGCAGTTTTCTGCTACCAAGCCAGGCTCTGCGCCCCGGGCGTTTGGCTCCTCCTGAGCCCAGGGTTTTACCCAAACCACCTCCTGCTGCCCCCACACTGGTGCCCAGATCGCTGCCAGCCCCGGAGGGTCTCTTGGCTGGGAGGGTAGCTACTAACAGCCAAAATACAAACAGGGCTCAAACCTCCAGCTGCCTCCTGGCTGGGAGCTGGGGCACGTCCTCTGGTCCGTCGGGCTCAGACCTGCACCAGCTCGGAGCCTCCTTGAATTACTCTCCATGTACATCAGCACCAAAAGCTGCCCGGAGCAGGGATGCTGTGCACCATGTGCATCTCTGCACCCTCACCTCGTGCCATCCCCAATAAATAAAGCGAGATGGGAATTATCTGTGCAGCCCCTGCTGCTTAGAACCAAAGAGCCAAATCCCTTCTGCTCCTCAGCAGGAGACGGAGCTACCCTGGACATGCAATCAGGCAACTTGATCTTGCCTGGCCAGGCTTGGAGGAAAATCCTCACCGTGCAAAGCGCACAGAGCGGCCTGACCATGGTAGGAACAGGGTGGAGAGGAAGCCCTAAAACCCCCTGGAAAGCATTTCTTCCCAACCCCAGCAGCACAAGGGCTGGCAGTCAGGATCAGCGTGCTCTGAGCCACTCAAACTTCGCTTTTTCCCCCCCATAACTTATTTTTAACATCTCCTTTACTACCAGACAAGGGCCTGAGCATCAGTAGAGGGTGTTCCCAGGCCGGCTGGCAGTGAGGGCTCAGGGCAGACGATGACCCAACCCTCCCCTTGGGGTATCTGCAGCAGCAGCATCTCTTACCTGCTGTAGGCATGCTAACGTTATACTGAGGTAAGATAAACAGGAAAGCAGTCTTGGCTGTAACCTGTCAAAGACACAAGAGGGAGGGGGAAAAAAAAGCAAATCAGTTGTTAAATCCATTCCACAATTTACTCCCCTTTCCTACTGTGCTGGATAAGGCAAATCATCCAGGGAGATACGCAGGCACCAGCGTCACCCACAGAAGTGCCTTTCAGCAAGGGGATCGTGAGGGAAGAGGTTTCCCAACAGGGACTTGGGATTTGGGAAGGAGAAAGGAGTGGATAAAAGAGGGAGAAACCCAGGAAAAGCAATGCAGCTGTAAAGGCCACCAGCCAGCCTGATGGGGGAAGCTCCCAGCTCCCCCCCCCCCCCCCCCCAAGGATGAGCATCCCTCCAGCAGCAGGGACCATCATCACATGTGACCTGCTGCTTGGGGCACACCGGGAGCCCAACCCAGCAGGCTGTTTGTGTTAATTGAAACCATCCGCCATTCCCATCCACTCTGGGCAGCCATGCCATGAGCCCGGGCTGGGTGGAAATGACAACATCCAGCACCCGAGCAAGCTCAGGGGATTCAAAGCCCTGCAGGCTACGCGTCTATTTAGCCCCTGCACCTCTGTGGAGACTCCTCTAGAAATGGCAGTCATGGGAGCAGGGAAGCCGGGCCCCTTTAGAGACCCCACAGGTGCTCACAAGGGTCCCACGGGGCAAGGGAAAAGCAGCTTTGGCAAAAGAGCTGAACCTTATGCTGGCCATGCAAGATCCCAGCCACATGTCCAGCATCACAGCCTGGCCCATAAAGGGGAAAAAAAAGCCTGGGGTGAGACATCAGGCCCCCTTCAAACCAGGGCTGTGCTGTTTGCTCTTTATTTATTGCTTTTAATTCAAGGGAATGACCTTCCCCAGCAGTGAAGCAGGAGGCTTCGTGCGGATGGGGGCAGAGCCAAGCATCCCATCCCGGTACCCCTGCAGGAGACCCCAGAGCAGGCTCTCCGAGGTTGATGAACCCCTGAGTCAGGTCCACAGCAAAACCCAGTGCACAACCATCCAAGGCAACCTCCGTCCGTGCTGTCATCCTGTCAAACCCCACACTGGCAGCAGGTCACCGGAGATTTTTACCTTTCTGATGGCTCATGTTCTGATGGAACATGTCCAGAGGAGAGCCATAAAGCTGGGGAGGGGTCTGGAGCACAAAGCTTACGAGGAGCAGCTGAGGGAACTGAGGGAACTGGGGTTGTTTAGTCTGGAGAAGAGGAGGCTGAGGGGAGACCTTATCGCCCTCTACAACTGCCTGACAGGAGGGGTGAGCTGGGGGGGGAATGGGGGGGTTGGCCTCTTCTCCCCCGTAGAGGGCGATAGGACGAGGAGGAATGGTTTGAAGTTGCACCAGGGCAGGTTTAGGCTAGACATTAGGAAAAACTTCTTCCCCGAAAGGGTTGCCAGGCTCTGGAATGGGCTGCCCAGGGAGGTGGTTGAGTCCCCATCCCTGGAGGTATTTAAAAGGGTAGATGAGGTGCTTAGGGACATGGTTTAGTGGTGGGATGTCAGGGTTAGGTTAAAGGTTGGAGTCTATGATCTTAAAGGTCTTTTCCAACCAAAGAGATTCTACGATTCTATGATTCTCCTCAGCCACCACTCCGAGGCTTTGCACATGCTCAGCCTCATAGGCAACCCGCCCAAAAAAACCCTGTGCCCGTCAAACGCTGACAGAGATGAGCTGCATTTCACACAGACATCATGGCAACCGTTCCAGAGCTGCAGGCTATTAAAAACCCTGCTGGAAATATTGCTTCACATCTTGCGGGATGTAGCTGCGGGAAGGACACGGGGGCTTTGCCAAGTGTTCCCGTCCCGCCCCCACGAGCATTGAGCAACCAGCCACTGGCTCCGCTCTGCCATCACCGGCAGTGCTACCCATCCTCTTGCAGCCTCAGCTGGGGGATAACAAACTCCATGGTGTGTTTTCATCATGTTTGGGGATTATTATTTTTTTCCCCCCACTTAAAAAAAGAAATCCCACATGTTGTGCTTTGCTTGTGGAGAAGTAGATGCAAGAAGCACTCTCCTGAGGGAGATGGAGACCACGGGCAGAGTTTTAGGTAGTAATGGAAAAAGTGCATCGCCCAGCCTGAAGCTGGCTTAAGGAGACACTTCTGGCTCTTGCAAACCTTGCTGGCTAGGAAAGCAAACTTGCTTCATCCTGGAGTGGTACAGCATAACTGGGACCTGGACTTTACATCCAAACCTTGGCACAAGCTGGTGCAGGGCATGTAACAAATGCGCGAAGCTGGTGGTGGCCATGATGCTGCAGGGACGGGTGGCCGTGTCATGGATGTGCCGATGCCAGCAGGCACTGAAGGTTTTACATCCTACCCAAGTACCTGGCTGATATCCAGAGGTGTAAACAGCTGGAAACAAGGCATCATCTCCAGATGAAGTCTCCTAATCCACCAGAGGGGCCATAAGCCAGACTTGCGGGTCCAAGAGAACGACCCCGGAGCATCTCCAGGGCGGGGAGCAATGCCTGCCCGGTGCTCAGCCCCAACACAGTTTGGGAGAACTCTCCTCATCTTCTTTTCTAGAGGGGTCTGGTAGGAAGGTTTCCTTCATCCACTCGAGGATTGATCAATGCTTTAGGCCATCTCCACACCTGCCTATGCTTCCTGTGGGCCAGAGGACCACCAGCAGAGCTTCTGGGGCCACCTCTGCACCCCTTCACCTCTCCACCATACAGACCTAGCGGGTTGTTTTCTAAAGCCTACATAAAATGTTTTATAGCCTAAGATAAATGTAACCTCTTGGATGTAGGCAGGCATCCCAACAGACCGACTTCCAGAGAACTGCCTCCCTCCTCCTTCCCCTTGGACGGGGAAGCCAAGGCACACACCTGCAGCCACTCACTAAGGGCCAGCAGCTCCAGCGGCCAAATTTGAACCTCTGGGCATCCAACCTACCCATCCACTTCTGGGCACCTCACAGACCTTAGGAGGAAGGAAGGTGTCCTCTTGGCCATCAAAAGCATTCCTTTCTCCTGCAACCAGGCAGGAAGCATTCACACTGACCGTGGAAATGTCTGAAGGCATGCAGAATTCCACCCCTCGCCCCGGCGCAATCCCTGCACAGGCTCCCCTGTGGGCACCCAGCAGGACTTTAACAGCCAAGGCAGCATTTTCAGAGGTGGGTCCCTGGGCTTTCCAAGAGCTCAAAAGACTGGTTGCATCTCATTTCATGAGCACTTACACCTCCATGCTTTCCTTGTTGCAGTTGCACAAAGAAACCCAGAACAATGCAAGAGCACCGACCGTCCAGCTCAGCTCTGTGCTCCGAGACTCACCACCCATGAGGCCGCCAGGGTCCCGATCACACCCGACACCCTCAGCAGAGCCACCTCCACCTCCTTGCCACCACTGCGAGGACATCTCAGATCAGATGGGAAAAAGAGTTGTGGTTTCCAGCAGCTAAGGCAGATGGAGCACAAACCACATAGAATCATTTGGTTGGAAAAGCCCTTTAAGATCACCAAGCCCAACTGTTCCCCTAACCCTGCCATCCCACCACTAAACCCTGTCCCTAAGCATCTCCCCTGCCCAGCTTTTAAATACCTACAGGGATGGGAACTCAACCCCTTCCCTGGGCAGCCCCCTCCAGTGCTTGACAGCCCTTTTGGGGAAGGAATTTTTCCTAATGTCCAACCTAAACCTCTCCTGGCACAACCTGAGGCCATTGCCTCTCGTCCTATTGCCCGTTCCCTAGGAGAAGAGACCAACCCCCACCTGGCATGGGATGAACCACCTTGAGCAGGACACCTTCAAGGTGAAGGACACCCTGCATGTCCACAGAGGGACCTGCATCTTTTTGCCACTGCTGACAACACACCCCTTACTGGTGGGCACGGAGGGGTAGGTGACTCGATCAAGGTCGTAGCCGAGCTCCACCAAGTGAACATCAGGCTCCGAAATCCCACACTGTAGCTGTATCTACCACAGCATCTCCTCTGCCACATCAACTGGGAGCACCCCAGTGCACCCATTGCTACACAGCCCAGCGTAGCATATAGAGACAGAAACACCACCGAGCAGCTTAAGCCTCCTAGAAAACGGGGAACGCTTGAACCATGACCTCCAGCAACACCAGCTCCAGCTCTCCTGCAAGGCAGAAACCAGGTTACCTCGGCTTGGGAAGGAGCGATGAGCACCGTGGATGGCAAAGCTTTAGAGCTCCCATCGAGCATTTTGCAGGCGGCCAGAGAAAGGAGAAGTTTGTAACGGGAAGAGCAACGTGAGGATTATTCAGCGGCACAAGACGCTCGTGGTCTGTTTGCTCTGAAACAAGACGCTGGTATGCGAAAGGGAGCACCAGGCAGGGCAGCGAGCAGAGCCGGAGCCGCTGCAAAACTGCTGCAGGCAGGGGCAGAATTGGGCATCGCCAGGTATTATTATATTTTTTTTGGTTATGCTTTGAGGCTACCTCCTCAACCCGCTTCTTTGGTTTTCCCCTCTTATCTCCAGCCTTTTCTCAAGGCAGCCCAAATCCTACAGAGCACCACCATGACTGCAGTAGGGATTTTTATAGGGTGGGAGAGGGATTTGTCTGCAGGGGACGAGCTGAACAGGGACCATATAGGAAAGGCTGTATATCCCTCGTTCGTTCCCTGTCCTGCATTACGGGCACCTCCATGCAACCCAGCACTGCTCAAGGGGATGAGGGAGATGTTCCTCATCCCAGCCTCCTCCTGCCTGGCACAAGGGATGTGCCTGAACCAGCTAAATTTGGGAAGCAGCTGTCCTGGGGGCTCTGTACAGCTACACAGAGGGAACAGCATCTTCAGCAGCGAGCGGGCTCCTGGTGATTAACGACACTAACCCGAGGACCAAAGGGCAGCCGGACAGTGAAGAGGCAAAACCCAACGCAGCCATCAAGACCAGTTACCTGCCATGCTCTTGGAGCAGCTGGGACAGGGCTCGGGCTGCTTCTCATGGAGCAACACAGCCAGACATCAGATCAGCGCATCCGCTTCATGGCCCTCGATGGATAAAGGGCGATGGATAGAGCCAGACAATCCCACAGCTACTACGCATTTACTACGCATCTACTACCCACCACCACGCACCTACTCCCTGACAGTGCAGTGACTGGAAAAATTCACAGCCCCGCTAGCCTGGAGTTTCGTAGGGTCATAGAATCATTTAGGTTGGAAAGGACCTTTAAGCTCATCAAGCCCAACTGTTCCCCTACCACTGCCATCCCACCACTAAACCCTGGCCCTCAGCACCTCGGCTGCCCGGCTTTTAAATCCCCACAGGGGTGGGGACTTGACCCCTTCCCTGGGCAGCCCTTTCCAGTGCCTGACAGCCCTTTTGGGGAAGGAATTTTTCCTGATGTCCAACCTAAACCTCCCCTGGCGCCTAACACAAAGCAGCGAAGCTCCCCTCACTCTTTTCAGAAGATGCTGTTTGTTCCCTGCCACGAAACGCTGTAAGAGTCCAAACCAAAATCCCGATCCCACTTTTGCAGGCACGCAAGCAGCTTTTAAGCAAGGAGCCTAAGCGCGCGCATCCAGGCAGCTTAGCACCTCTCCCCAAATCTACCCGCTGCGACTCTCAAGCCCTAAGATCTTCAGGAGCAGGGGATAATTTTTGAGCATCCTTTGCAGAAAGGTACCAGGTCACCCTCCAAAATCCAGTTCTCTCCCCGAAAGCCTCAGCCCAGCAGGATTTGCAGGATCTGCGCTGCCTACAGCTCGGCCGGGAGCCCCCAGGCACGCAGCCGTCCCCGCGATCCTGCTTGGGTTAAAACCACTTCGGAGGAAGGAAGCGGCTCCAAACCTCTGGCGAGGGAGGCTGGGGGAGTTTCTGCAGTCTGAGCCGGGAAAATATTTCCAGGATTTGAAAAACAACTCAAACTAATTAAAGATAAAAAGCTGTCCAAAGGCTTTTCTCACAACTTAAGAGGTTTGGGGGTTTTTTCCCCCCCCCACACCAGCCGGAGTGTTTATTGAAAGAAAAACTTGTTGATCCACAGTATGGATCGACACAGGCCCTATATGTAAACTAAAGACCAAACTTTGGACCAAAGCCTTTCAAAGTAAACAGACAGCTTATGAGAAGAAAAAAAAACCCTCCCTGAGGGCAGCACAGCCCCTCTGCTTGCACCCACGGGCTCGGCCCCCGGCACAACACGACTCTCATCGCCTCGTGCTCCCTCCTGTTTATTCCCTTTTTCAAAGCAGACTTAAATTCTGCTTTTTTTTTTCCCCCTCCACCCCCCCGCCCCACCTCTCCCCCAGCTATTCAGCCTTTAAGCCACTCGCGTGCCTCAGTTCCACATCTGGCAAAGACCAGGGGAAGCAGAAACACGGGTTGTTTTCCCTCGTTAACGACGGGAAGGCCTTAATTTTTGCAGAGTACTACAGAGGGGATCGGGGAGGGGAAAGTATATTTAGCAGGAAGCCTGGAAATAGCAGCTCATTCGTCGGGTGCCTTCGTTTGACAGTGTCACAACCCGGTGTTTGGGAGACCGTGACTCACCGCCGCGGCTCGGCACGCGGGGGAAAGCCCAGCGAAGGCACGGCATCTCTTATAATACAACATTTTATAACTTTATCACTGTCATCCCCGTGCATAAGCATCAGGACCTGTCCTCTGCTTTGTCCCTGAGCTCGTAGCAGCCAGTTCTGGGCATAAAGGAGAGAGAAGACAGAGCCTCACTTTTCCCATCTCACAGGGGCTGTGACAGCAGCCCCTGTTTAATACAGAAACTTCCCCAAACCAGCGAGGTCCCTCCCAAACTCAACCCGCACAGAGGCTGATCGATCCAACACCATCCACTGGAGCCGGCACACGGGTCACCGGGGAGTTGCAGGTTAAACCCAGCCTGGCCTTGGCTTCATTTTTCTGCAAAGCAGGGTAGAAAAAGATATGCAAAGCGATTCCTGCGTGAGGATGGAGAGCACCTGCTTCCCATTTCTATACGCAGTCACTTAAAATGGTTTTTGCCCAAAAAAAAATAAAAAAAGAAAGGGGAAATTTTTCTTTCCAGGCTCCAGCTCCTTGGTGGATGGAGCAGCCACGCACAAGCAGCAAAATCCCTCCCTGGCACCACGCAGAGGTGTGCCGGGCGTGTTTTCACACCCTGAAGGCTTAGGGCTGGCTGGGAAGGCAGAAAACCCCGCGGCACCCAGCTCAGGACAGCTCGTTTTGGGGGGGGACCCCCTCCAAGCCCCAGGCTTCCCTCCCTGAGCAATGCTATCATCATCCGAAATACGCACAATACTCGAGTAATCAAGTCCAACGCACCCGTAACACTGGCGAGCAGCCTCGTGCCACTCTCTGTACCCCCCAAATCCCCTCCCGGGAGCCAGGATGGTGCTAGCGGCGCAGCCAGGCATTAAGCGAGATGCGAACAGCATCTCCATCACAACTGGTACCCGCTCCCTGCTGCCAAGGAATTACCAGGCTGGTGGAGCCAATGGATCCGTTTGGATGGGGGAAGAGGTTGCGTACCCAAAAGGATGCTCAAGGCGTACGTCGCGCCATGCTTTGGGAGGAGGAGACCGACGGCAGCCCCCGAGCATCACTGTGAACATGGTGCTGGAGCAAATAACCATTCAGCGTCCGCGGGCCGCCTGGGAAAAGGTTAAAAATCCTGCCTGTGCCTCCCCAAAGAAACCTCCCCTGCAGGAAACGGCCTATTGTGAGCAGGATTCGGCCGCTTCCGCTGAGCCCGAGCTCCGCCGTGGCCACTGGCATCGGGCAAGGTGGGAGCCTGGCTGCAGGGTGGGAAGCAGGGCAGTGAGGAGGAAAAGGAGGAGAAAGGATGGTGACACGTCCTCCCCATCACGGCAGAGGAAGCACTGAAAAGGTGGCAAAATGCAGAAATAACTACGCTGTCACCAAAACTCGTGGTGGTGCAAACGGGCGCACCACCAAAAAGAGGTGGTGGAAATGGGCAGGGATGGTTTGGAGGGCTGGGGAAGAGCAGAGCCCGATTTCTCCTCCAAGAGAAAAGAAAGCAGAAGGGAGAAATAAAATAAAATAACCACAAGGACCAAAAGAGTCATCCCAAACCCCATGCTGAGGGGAAGATGAGGGCAGGTGCTGCCGAGCAGGGACACAGCCGGGTGCCAAAAGCCACCCCAGCATGGCAAGCGCCGTCTCCCCCAGGCCCACCGGGACAGCAGCGGCACCAGCAGGAAATTGCTGCCTCTCAGCAACTGGGGGAGATTTAATTAAAAGATATTAAAAAAAAAAAAAAAAAAAAAACAAAAAGCCCCAAAAACACCTCGGCACCCAACAGCAGGCACCAGCACCCCGAAAAAGCCAGCTGCGGGGAGAAACCCTGACAGGCATGCAACCTCCGTGCCTTTTTTTTTTTTTTTTTTGTTCTAAAAAGTACGACTATGAAACTTGCAGCCCAACTTTGCGGCATTTGCATGTGGTTTTGGAATACAGCTGGCCTTCTCGGGCGAGTTCTGAAACACACCAACCCTTAAATAAATACATATATATGCACGAACACATCGAAAGGGGTTTGTGCACTGGAACTGACTC